ATTGAGCGCGACCGGTCCTCTATCGGACGGTTTCCAAAAAAAAAATTACAGAATCCCGTCACAGTACACATTAGCTAAAAATTCCAGTTATATGATCAATCAAAAACAATGTTTGGGCATTCTCGCAAAGTAGCCCCTAGTGGCGAATACCCCACTATCAAAACTGGATACAGAAATAAAAGTGAACAAGAAGCCGTTGTCCGTGTGTTCGTTCTACAATCGAACGGAACTAAATCCTGCTGAGAACCATAACACCCTCCCCTTCCCTCCTCAACTTGATCATGCATTACTTACTTCTCGAGTCATAAGCACCGGAAATAAGTATGTTTTATAAAGAGATGAACATTAGGGAAACAATTCTTGATGAAAGAGCCGGAGAAGGGGCGTAGACATAAGCAGCGGGAGAATCTGCAATGGATGATTTATGAGGAAGAAGATGATGTGAGGACTAGGGGTGCAGATGGGAAGAGAGACGCTCGAACTGTCATCAACGTTTACCCCTCACTATCCCGCGCGAGTATTTGCACAACACAGACACGGGCACTCGCTATCCTTCCCTCCTTCATCCCCAACCTCCCACTCGGTTAGCAATCCACCGCTGAATGTCGCAAACAGCGGCTTAAACCGACTATTTCTTGATGTGATAAATAATGCAGATTAAGAAAGAATAAAGACTAAACAAATTGGACCAGAAGCTGTGTTAAAAGGTATAAGTTAAAACGACAAGAGGTCAATTTTGATGGACAATGATTGATAGGTGAGATGAGGCGATATATCATGATGCCTTCGCATTCGCAGAAAGCGAGGGCCAATGAGCAACTAACAAGTGGAAAGAAAGGATTCATCGATTTCAAAAAAAAAAATCGCTTAAATCTAAATAAAGGAACAACCAGGGACTTTCCTATATTCAACAATGAAAATTTAAAATGAGCAGAATAAAGTCATTTAACAATGTGTGGAAGTAACACGGATTAAGTGAGGGATAACTGGATGCAGACATAAAACTTCGAAGTCTTTGAAGTTCACAGTCAGAAAGCACTTAAACAGGCTTCATTCTCATAACTGATAAAGTCGCTAAAAAGGTGAAAAAG